CTTCAGTAGATCGTATCAAAACTCTTCTTTTTCGAAGCTGTTTTAGAATATAAAACAGTGTTTTAAAAAACTATAGTGGATAGAACGAAAACCACTTTCTTTGATGTTCGGGCACTATCACAAATAATACTACGGTACTTGTTGATAACTGTATACGTATAAAACAACGAGCTTGGATCTTCGTATTCGATATACAATGCAATTATGTTAGTTAAATAAGTAATAGGAAACTTGAAACTAGTTTGTTTAATCTAATTTGATGGTCCCATAGACATAGATTCAAATAGATGTAGAATTATATTTTTCGTATAAATTTTGAGCATTAAATAGGAACAAAATATCTTACTTGAATTTTAATGAAATTTTGATTTTCATGTTTCTGAATTAAATTTATGTTAATAATAATAATAATATTGGGATTCCGAGGCGGATCACTCCCGGGAAAGATGCAGAAAGCAGTGCTCTTAGATACTGCCCGCATTGTACGCCGGTTTCTCTCCCTGGGGCCCTGAACTCCGGCCGACTGTGCTTCTGCCGGGGGTAAGTTTGCCATCTCCTCTCCTTAAGAGGGGGAGATGAAAATTTATTTAAAAATTAAAAAATAATAGTAATATCGACTTTTGTAATAAAAAAATGTTATTTATGTAGAATCCTTTATATTTTCGATACTTTTTTATCGGACATTAACAAAGAATATTGAACAATAATACACTGAAGATTAAAAAGCACGCTTTTCTTTTAAATATGGCGACCATTCCGAGCGATTCGGGACAAACGGTGCAGTGATTGTGACTACATAATTTATTGGGACCGCACCCCTCCCACCGGTGATTGATATCTCATCGACGTATTTAGAATCGAAAGCCATCTATCAAATGTACAAATAACAAAGTTTCTCAAGTAAAAACGAACCATTTAGCGGGAGGACGTCTGATTCGAGGAACACTGTCCAATCTTCCATTACTATTTATCAATACGATGTAATCTCCATGAAACAGTGTCTATCCGCTTAAAATTGTTCCCCGGCTGAAGAGTTATGCGCTACATTTGTCTCCGGCTGGCAATCAACGGATCTTTTTATCTTCGTTTCAAACCGTTTTGTCTCCGTTCTTCTTCGGTAATGTTCATTGAAATAGATTCCATGGGTGAATGCATCGCGTGATAGTTCCTATCTGCATTACACTTTTACTGAGCCTCGGTGACGCCGGCATTCGTCAAGTGGCTTATAAAAATTGAAGCCAAAATCGTTAAGATAGATAGATAGATAGATAATTTATTTACATTACTTTCTTTTCATTTAAGAGTTTCCTCTTGTCGATGCAACTAATTCATGCATCTTCCTCCAGCCAGCTCTATCCCAGGCCATATCCTTTATCTCCCTATACGACATGACGCCTAGTGTCTCCTTTATCTGTCCCATGTAGTTAATTCTCGGTCTTTCTCTTCCTCTTTTGCCCTCTATCTTTCCTTCTACTATGCTCTTAAAAAATCGTCATGTCGTATAAGGAGGCCCAGCATTTTGCCTCTTCTATTCTTTATTATTTCAACCAATACATTACTTACAGCACACAAATTACAATACAAACATACACATAATACACAGTAAAAGAGATAAAAGAATAGAAATAAAAAAGCGACAAAAAAAACAAGCTTAAGATCTTTTTAATTTTCTATTTCTAAGATTGAAGATTATTCTTAAAGAAACGTGGATTGTAAAATGTATGTAGATGCTCATATAGTGAGTTGACAGTGAAACGCGCATTATTATTACAGGTGGCTGATAATATTTTGACTACATTCGTGTCGTGCCTCTCAGATTGCAACAGTCTGCCAGTTTTAGTGATCGATCGATGAGTACTAATCATCACTGGTAAACGCTCTCTTAAAATGACGATAAATATTTCGATATTTTTATTTTTTTCTGCAATTTAAAATGGCAAACAAATTAACGGCCCACCTAATGGAAAATGGTAAGTCGAGTATAAAAATGTACAGTACCATGGACAAAACACAGTATACTGTGTCGCTCATGATACCGTTCACGCCTTGCCATTTCTGAGGATTTCTTATATAATTATAAAATATACAAAATAAAATATATCAACGCGAGTAGTTAATTTCATATGCGTACGACTGCAAATCTATGTTTCTAGTCTAGATATTCAGGACATTTCGCTCGTGACGTCACTTATGTTTTATTAAAAAAAGAATATGAACACACACACACACACACACAGTGCTTTACGGTTATCCGCACATTTAATGATTGCGGGCTGACTGGCAATTTAGCCTTTATAGACGATTTCAGAGAAGCTTTATTCCGCAATTGCGTTTTTGAATGTGTGAGACGAGATTTTCCCAAAAGACTTCTCTTAAAAATGCATGAACTGTCTTCTATAGAGTGCCGCACACATACCTACCAATATATAAACTTTTCCTTCACTTGGTGATGAATATCAATGAAGATGATGATGACAGTTTAAATTAAAAAAAACACAACATATTGACATTACCTGCGTTATATATTTTTGAGCTGGCTTTATTTGTTAAAAATAATTTAAGTAAATATAAGAAATTAAAAAATAATAGACAGCACCATAAAATCATTTCAAAACCACATAGTACGAGATTATTTACTAAAAGTGTCTCAGGGATGGCACTTAGAATATATAATAAATTACCTAAATCCCTCACAGACATAGATGACATAAAAAAAATATAAAACTAAACTGTATGAATACCTAGTAAACAGAACATACTATTCAATTGACGATTTCCTTGAAGATAAATGTAATAAATTTCCATAATATTATAATTTTTTAATATAAATGTGACATTGTTGACTTTTTTAAATATTTTTTTTTCTTATATAATTGCAAATTTGTATACCTCGATAGATGGGGTTGATCATAGAGGACTTATCTTGTTTCACCATCCATTGTTACCTATGTATCACAATTTAAATAAATAAATTAAATTGCAATTATGGATACAGTTATATACTCTTGCTTCTACAAAACATTCCTCTATCATTACTTCATCACGAATAATATGAGCTTTATATATGTGATAGGAATCGATATAAATTTACCTGGAAACATTAATATATCCCTATGTACGTGTAGTATGACGCGAGCTGACTGTTTCATGTCGCGTGGCTTTGACAGCAGAACCATTTACCGATTGGCTTTATATCTCACTAGACATATACATATATATATACCTATATATAGCAGTAGACATGACGTCGATGCCACACATACTGCTGGAAATGATTGGCGATCGACTAATGGTAATAGTCACTGTATACAGGGTGAAATATGAATCGTTAACATACGTTTAAGTTCATTAACCATGTGGATAGAATAGGGCTCCCCTTCCATTACCGTGGGTGTCGTAAGAGGCGACTAAGGGAACTTAACAGTAGAGCGATGGGTGGTAATGTTCCTTTTAAAACACTAAATACCTAACTGCGATTGCTAACCCATCTGCCAAGCGTGGCAACTACTAGCAAAACTCTCCTCATGGGAAAGGCTTATCAGCAGTGGACAGGCAACAGCTGAGATGACGATATATTTAAAGGAGTGTTTTAACAAGTGAAACCAAACATTTTCACCCAGGAAACATAGTTTAAATACTGACAATAAAAAATTACAATACCAACACGGCGCATCCAGCTGTTATTATAATTTTTTTATACTATAATGGCAAACAAGCTGACTTCTCACCTAATGGATAGTGGTAACCGTCGCCTATAGACATGAGCAGTACCATGGACATAACAGAGTATACTGTTTCGCCCATGATACCCCCCATGCGTTGCCATTCCTGAGGACTCAGGAGTTATTTCTCCGTACAATATATATTATATTATTAATTATTATATAATCATTTGTATTTTTTTTAATTATCAAAATTTCTGTTCTACTCCAATACATGAGTAAATCCTTAGTATTACGTTCACATACGACTAACGACTTCGAGTTCACCCTCTATATATTACTAGTTACCGTGCGAGGGTGGCGCCCTCTGGCAGTAAAAGTTTGATCCACTTTTGCTACTTACCAGAGGGCACCAGATTTGGAACATACAGATGCGTCGATTAAGATAAACATCCCCGGGACGCGATCAAGAGCAGGTACTATTTATGTACTTTGGGTGAGTTTGAGTGACTCAACAATGCGTACGTTGCAGTATTTCCGTCTGAAAGGTAAGACGGCTACCTGAGGAAGCAATACGAGTATATGAGGAAAATGCCCCAGGAGACATTTATATTTATAGGTCACGGGCTTCGGTTTCCGTCAGATAGGATGCGCTCATTTTGGACATTACTATTCACTTAATATAAAAAGACTTTCTTAACAGCTAATGACTGTCAACACATCTCTAATATTGTGTTATAAAAAAAAAACATATACATACTTCCAGATATACAACAAGTTCTATGTAGACACAAAACTTAGATTCCAAAGATGGTTTCAAAGGATATTAAGGATGAATAATATAAGCATTATTTAAAATAAAAATATCCATTCGACGTTTTCAAAGAATTATCCGTTTGAGTGACAGAATGACAGATTAAATTTGTAAAAAGTCCTCCGCAAGAGCGTTATCAAGTGAGACCTGTCACTGAGTGACAGGTAGGGTTGCCTCACACACCCTTAAATCTACCGTAATTATGACTGCCCCTGATTATATTGCGGTTAACGTTAACGTACATACAAATATTAACGTTCACAATATAGTACGCTCCGCTAAACATTAACTATTATGACGTTAAACATTATAATTTTAATATTAAAAAAAAATTATACAGTTATACAAAACAACACTGATCGATCTTAAAAGGCAATAAATAAGAAATTAATTGCATGAAACTGTTATCGATGTAAGATCCGGACGAGGGATCCGGGCAACAGAAACCTTTAGGCACATACGCCGCGCACTTTCAATACGAAGTGACACGCCACTGATGTTTCGTACGTACAAAGCACCGTTACGTTATATTATTCTGATGCCAGCTCCGTACATGACGGTATGGTGAGGCACGCGGGGTCGCCGCTGGAGACGCGTACGGGCGCCAGGGCGGGCGGCCGATCACTGAGGAGCCCGGGCGCCCCGCGCCCCGCCGCCCTCCGAACAACCCCCACATAAACTCTCAATTATTTTATTGGGAAAGCTAATGAGACGAGAGCCATCCAGTGGATCGTTGTCTACCATTCCCATGGATACATCTAAAAATAAAATTTATTACCCAAAGGTAATACATGGCCTGATTATTATAGGTATGCAAAGATATGACATTTGAATGTTCAGTACTAATGAAATAGTCTCCTAATAAAATATTAACTCTTCTCTGTTGGATTGACAAGGCCGTGGACGAGTTATATTCTGCATGGGAGGTAAAAACGTATGAATAATTCATAATCTAGTACATTAAGCAGATGATGATCAGCTACGAATAACAAGGAGCATTGACGGTCTACAGTCGATACCATAATTTCATCCAATGTAGTCCAATCACCACGATACCTTACTATTTTCAAAATAGTAAACGATCTTATCCTTATGTCTGATGTACTAAATGTGTAACTACGTGTAACACCAGATCTGTAAAAGTAACTATATAATGTTTACTTATCATCTATTTCCCTTCAAAATATTATATATATATATATATATATATATAATTCTTTAATACGATTTATTCACTTTTACTTACTTTACTTAATGGCCACAGACAAATAGTAGCCTTAACTAATTGATAACGTAATAAAAATAGACTAGTTAGAGAGATACGTGAGAGCTGTATAAAACTACTCCACTAGTTGCGAACACATTACGTGTTGGCGCATCTTACTTAAATTAGTAAATAAGTGGTTAAAAAGTTTCAAGAAAAATGTTGTAAGAGCATATCAAACATAGATTGTCTACTTTATTCAGACAGTTCATACAATATTCAGTTACTCTGAAAGTCATTCTACTTTCCTCATTTTCCCCCGTTCACGTTACACTGGTATTTTTCTTAAATGGATACCAGGTTGTTTTTGTTTAATTGTAAAATAGTAAATACATGAAAAAATAATAAATTTCGTTTGGCAAATGTTGAAATGTGGATACTCAGTAAGGTCGGATTTTGCATCTACCACAACGTTGTACCCTGAGATTACGTTATTACATGAATCGCAATATATTAAACACTACACTACTAACTTCGGACAGTATACGACAATGATACATATTAGCAGCAGCTTTAATACTCTTTTTTTGTGCGACTTAGAATGGCAAACATTGTGATGGGCCCCATTCATTACAGAACACAGTGTTACGCTCATGGCACCCCTAATGCGCTGCCATTACTGAGGACTCAAGTGTTATATCTCCATACACAGTCACTTCACTGCCACATACCATCCTTCTAATCAAATTAAAGCTCGACAGCAGTAACACAATGGTGTTCAGAAGACTTTTAAACACAATACCATTTGTGTGAACGTAATTGGTGGAAGAGGGTGGAAGAAAGAATTTATACCATTAAGGTAGCAAACAAGCATTCGGCCCACCCGATGGTAAGCAGTTACCGTAGCCTAACAACGTCTGCAATACCAGGGGTATTACGCGCGCGTTGCCGACTCTGAAGAAACCTCTTTACCACCCTTTTAAAGAACCCCATGCTGTAGTCTCTTTTTTTATACCAATGGGAAACAAGCATACGGCAGGTAAGCAGTTCATTACATAATACCAGGGGTATTATGCGCGCGTAACCTTCATGCTGTAGAGGGATTCGGTAGGGAGTTCATTACATAATCTGAGTGTTCGTGGGAGAAATCTCTGAAACCGCGTTGTACGCGACCATTTAGGCTGTAAAATTTTTTTTATAAGTGTCTTGGTGACACTTATAAAACGAATTTCCCTCTTTCCTTCGCAATTTACACTCACTGCTTTAACTGTACGTCTACGTTCAGCAGTCGACTGTTAATGGTTGACATGATGATGCTGATGATGATGATGATGAGGATTTTAATTGTAGGCACAATTTTTTTATAGCACTGAGGTGGCAAACAAGCATACGGCCCACCTGATGGTAAGTGGTTACCGTAGCCTATGAACACCTGCAATACCAGAGGTATTATGCGCGCGTTGCCGACCCTGAAGAAACTTCTTTATCCCCCTTTTGAAGAACCCCATGCTGTAGTCTCTTGGGAAAACCTCGGAAAAAATGGAAAAGACACCGTTACTTTTTTATGAAACGAAGGTAGCAAACAAGCATACAGTACACGATACTGCTCATGTCTAAAGGCGACGGTTACCACTTTCCATCAGGTGGACCGTCTGCTTATTTGGCATTCCAAGTTGCATAAAAAAAAGTATAAATCTGAGAATTATACGCGCAGCCCACGAAAGCTTGATGCAGAAAGGCATCCATGCGTAATGCCAACTCTTGAGACATAAAGATCTTGAATCTCTGTTCTCAGCAATTTTACTCCGCTATTAACTGGAATGTAGAGAGAAGAAGATTTTGTGCAAAAGCCGTCTGATAGAGGTACCTAACCTTTGTCCCGTTCGTGTTTCAACCATAGAGCAGCAAATATTTTTTTTATGCAACTTAGAATGGCAAACAAGTTGATGACTCACTTGATGGAAAGTAGTTATCGTCGCCTATAGACATGAGCAGTACCGTGGACATAACAGAGTATACTGTTTTCTGGGAAAATCATGGGTGATACACCTCATGCGATGCCATTCCTAAGGACTCAGGTGTTATTCCTCTGTACTCTGTAAACTCACTGCCATATCCCACCCTTCAAACCAAAACACAGCCATGCAAATACAACTGCTTCACGATAGAAACACGAATAGAACAGAGGTGCCTACGCAAATGACTTTTGTACAGTCTCCCTCTGGTGAACATCCATGAAAATCACTCTGTATTAATATTCCTGAGATATTTCACATATGCTGTATATTCCGTGAATTTAACCTTGTTAATTAGGATAAAAAATATCCTAAAAAATATAAATCAATACAAATTATCTAACAATAAATTCGTCATATTTAATTCAAACCTGTTGAGCCGTTTGAGTATAACTCTGTTTTTTTTTTACAACACAGGAGGCAAATGAGCTTGCGGCTCACCTGATGGTAAGTGACTACCGCCGCCCATGATCACCCACAACACCAGCGGCATTGCAGGTGTGCTGCCGGCCTTTTAAAAAGGAACATACTCTTTTCTTGAAAGTTATGTTGCCGTATCGGTTCGGAAATACTGCTGCTGGAAGTTGATTCCAAAGAGTGGTTGTGCGTGGGAGAAAGTGCCTTGAAAAACGCACGGTGGAAGACCGCCACTCGTCCAGATGATTGGGATGAAACTTTAGTTTGTGGCGGGTTGTACGGTGGTGAAAATCAAAACGGTGTGTGAAAAAACATATCTAAATTCCAAACTTTCTGCTTTACAATATAAGTAGGATTAATTTCTTATTTGTTACGCTACAGATACGTTATATTAGAGAATAATCTTTGAGAAAACAAGCCGAATTAACTTCACTGAAATGTTTACTTTTACTGTAGGTATTTACAAACGTCGCACACATCACTTATTGGGCGTGTTAATCTTTTCTGAACTCAATAAACAGACAGATTGAAAAGATAACCTTTAAATTAACCTTTAACTGTCCACTGCTGAACATAAGCCTCCCCTTGGAGGGGGGAAGGGGGGAGGGGAGTTGCCAACTATTGCCACGCTTGGCAGACGGGAAAAGGTTTCAGTTACTATTAAAAAAAATCCGATCAGGTGCGAATTCAACTGACACGCCAAGGGTTCTACATAAATAGATATATGTACATGACATAAAATGACTTTTATTGCATTCCTAATACGAAATAGACGTTTAATAGTTATACGATAATTCTTAATTTCATATTTTGAATTATAAATGTGATCAAACATTGGAGCACATATGTAAATTAATTTTTGTATTTTTCGACAATTTCTCAAAAAACGACGGTAGACAGAAACTTCCGTTTTATTTTTCTGGTAATGTTAACATATATGTTTATAAAGTGTAATTACTTCAAATTCTTCGCGTCGGAAACTACGAAGTTAAATAAGGAGAGTATGGTTTTTCCTAACATTTTAAATAATAACTAAAAAAACTGTTGTATTTTTTATATGCTTGTTCTTGTTGTTTAAAAGGTATTTAACTCCATCAGTTATAGAACGATTTGGATTGTTATTATTTTACACTTACAATATCGGTTGTATAGAAATTTCATCAAAATCGATTCAGTAATTTAGTTTTTATAACAAAATGACTGATTTCGCCACAATTGAAATAGATTCCGTTTGTAGAACACAATCTGAATTATCTACAATCGCTATAATTGTAATGACTATCAAACTGCATGGATGACCAAAATGTATGGACTTTAAATGAACGAACTTAACATTTTGTATTACGTGGCGTTAATTTACCGGGTACAGAGGAATAACAACTGAGTCCTCAGGAATGGCAACGCATGGGGGGTATCATGGGCGAAACAGTATACTCTGTTATGTCCATTATACTGCTCATGTCTATAGGCGACGGTTACCACTTTCCATCAGGTGGACCGTCAGCTCGTTTGCCATTCTAAGTTGTATAAAAAAAAACGTGAGACATGGGAGCGCTCCGGCTGCGTTCGTCTGAATTGTATACTTTTCATTTATTCGTGTCCTATCCATTATTCATAGTTCGAATAATTATGAATTATGGATAGCGTTATGGTCTGCAAAGGAAACAGAAACAAAGGAAGTCTTGTTCAGTTTTATTCGGCATCCAGCGCCAACTGTTATTTTTAACTATATTAAATTAAAAGCAGTTATACAAGAACCATTTGAAATTAATTTCATAAAATAATCATAATTTTAAAGCAAAAACTAAAAATTTTTTTTTCATTTTAATCGCTATACATAAACACTCAAAATATTATATATGCAATTAAAAAACTATGTTACTAATATTATGTATTTTTATATGAAACTTAATATAGCAAACTGACGGCCCAACTGATGAAAAGTAATACCGC